ATGTAATGTGAATTGAAGTATATCTTCAGAACACTAGTAAACGTTGCATTATTAATAATTAATCGATCTCCATACCAATAGGTATACGCCGTGTGATTATTGTTTATATAAGCGGTATAATCATATGTACCATATCTATTATAAGGATGGTAGTAAAGTGGAAGAACAATTGATTGATTGTTTTAATGTGTAAATTAAAACAAATATGACCATTTATTCGCATATCAATAGATGATTAGTGATATTACGTTATGAAATCTTCTGTGGCTAATGATTCGACGTCAAGTAAATTGTACATGATAGGTAAGCCTCTAAAGAAATTCTAACACTATTTTATACTCCTATACTGCGTAAGTATTTAAAATACACGAGGATGTTCAAATTAGTCATCACAGCAATGAGGATTGATATGCGCCATAAAACTACTACATACTTATTGACACATAGCTGTATGTGGCACTTGAACTAATTTATATATCTTGAAGGCCAGTCAAGCTTGGAGCCTTATTGTATTCATTCAGACTATCCCTTCTCTTCTTCTGTCGTTTTTTGCCAAGACGTTTTAGAAAATTGCTGATTGTAATGATCTGAAATTCTTAAATTCTTCACCCCAATGTGAACTTTTGCACCCGACTTTTAGAAAAGTGAGTGGGACAACCTATAATCTAGAGATCGCGCGACTATTAACGACATTTCTTTTTTCTTTCAAAAATGGCAAACGCCTGGAAATCTTCTTATTCAAAACCACCGAACAAATTGATCTTGAATTTGTGCCATCTATGTGTAGACTATAAAAAGCAGTTTATGATAGGTCACGTTGTTTGGAGTTCATTTTGAATTTAATCTATACTGAAATTAGTTTTATACTACAGTCTTCGTTTTCCATAACTGACACGTGACATGTATGGCCGAAGCTTGTTATAGGAAACATAATCCTGATCAGTCATTCAGTCGCCATCTTGGATTTCTGGAAAAAGATTGATCTAAACATATAGTATTTGGTACTTATTAGTGTTTTTCCTGAGTAACTTAATCTGAAGTATTTTGTGTGTGACACTTGTGACCAAAGCTTCTTACGAGAAAAATATAAATAATTTTGATAAGTCACATGGTTTTGCGCCGTCTTTGATTTCTGGTAAAAATGACCTCAATTTCTGACATTTGTTCCTTGTGTAGGACATATGTCTCATGTGTCCTGCGTACAAAATAAAACTATGCGGATCAGTCACGAGATTCGGGCGCCATGTTGGATGTATTATGTAGTGTTTGTTTAAATGTAATAACTTCACAGTGCAAAGATATAGATTGTACTGCATAACATATAGCAAACTGACCCTTGACCTTAAATGCTCACCATCCACATTATCATGTCATAAAACAATCTGCTTCTGCTTAGACCCGCTGACGTCACTTGAGGCTTTGACTAAACACATTAATATCACACAAGTTGGATGACTGCCAACAAACCTAATTACCAATATAACTGGCGTTATATAGCGGGAATTGCGTAAATTTGTGTTTAATTTTTATAGTGTTGGTAAGACATCCATGGAAGTCAATCAGCCTTCTATTGATTATTATCTCGTAAAGTTTCAAGTCAAAGATTAATATGTTGATTAGTAAAGAACAATTTCGCATGTAAATACATCTACTGTTATAATATTTTACTTGAAGGTGCACACACATAAATCAACAGACCATCGGTTTGATTTGCATTTCCAATACTGCTGAACATTCGATGTGTTGATATCCGGTGAACATATCAACACAATCAAAAGTGTACATCCCCCAGGCTATTAAACGAACGCGAAAAAGGCTGGTACATTTTGACAATGTCTAGAATAGGTGGCTTTTACGCAACGTACAACCTAGCTTGTTTCACTATTTAGCATACGCTGAATTACAGCGATCACCCGTTGCCAATATGGGCGTTTAATAATATTAATACAGTTTTCAGCGCAACATGATTATCGTTCATATCACCTTTATTTTCATTTTCGAACGTTAGAAAGATAGTCTTAATTAGTTGGTGCTCAGTGTAGATTGTTGTATCCCATATGATTGTCATTGACTGATCTAGGTGACACATTCAGAGATAAGTGCATGTAATTATTATGGTTGAGTGAACATACCGTTATCACTCCAGATAAATGTTTTACTCATGCTCGTTTGGTTGGTGTGTTATAGATAATATATTTATATGTGCACGAAACAAAGGATGGGCGCGTTACCATAAGTATAATTCATGCCCGTTGTAGCCATTATTTTATACCATAGCTTTCAAATCAGTCACTCAGAGTTGACCAGTGCACTCAATAATAGCCAGGCGAATCGCTATGTAAATACGTCAAGATGCTGAATTACAAACAGAAATGCGTAGACGACACAAAATTATGTGTCATCACTGACTAGCTGCCTCCATGACTTCAGTACATTACCAAGGGAACTGACATGCGCAGACTGACCCGTACGTACGCCCACAGCTCTTCATACCAATTTGTTAGTCTATTTTTCGTAGACGTTCAAAGTCTCGCGATAATAAACGGCAAGAAATAATGAAGTTAAACTTTTTAATATCTTTACAATTCGCGCAATGAGTTGTAAGATTTGACGTTGAGGCTATTATGGGATAGGGATTACAATCAGAATGTTGTCAAGTATGCAGTAGATTATATTACTGATTCCTACAGGCATTTATGTCATTTAATTCTTTCCAAATCACGTTATTGAGTCGTACCTGTCATCTTTCTTGTACCGTCGTTATATTGGGATTATAGGGAGATATTCAGGGACAATTGCGTTGGTGTTATGTCTCGTTACAGCTGTACAGCTGGGACTTTAGTTACAATCAAATTACTTCAATCAAACAATTTCTGTTCTCAAATATGCTAGGAGATCAATTACAACATCGGTATCTGATGACATATATATATATATATATATATATATATATATATATATATATATATAT